GAACTTCTAGTAAAGTCTGCACACTCATTTATCAACAAACATCATACAATAATTTACTCAAGGTATATTCAATCTAGAAAAAAGGTGCAGATGTTTAACAGTAGGTGGGATTAATTATTGGGACTGTTCCTTCTGGACAGGGTAGACTCTTGGTAATTTAAATTATTTAAGTCAGGTCTGGTTGCTTCTCATGAAGGGTCTCCCATCTCTTGAACACTTTATAAACTTGCAGATCAATTCTTTGAATCAAGCTCCCTGACAGCTTCCCTGCCTCAGCTCAGGCATTTGCCAGAGATGTATCTGGATTCCTCTCCTTCTTCTATGCCCCCAATTGAGAGAAGGCTGCAAAAAACCCACAGAGGTAAAAAGCCTAGTGTAAGGGAACTGAAAGTGTTGCTGGTGTGGAGAAACCTGTTGCAGATGTATTGGAGATCCCAGGAGATTTTGGCTAAGAATTCACATAATAGATGCCCAACCACATCATTGCAGAGTTTCCTCTGTGTGAATTATGATAGCAGAGGTTGGAGAGGGTTTAGAAGTCCATGACTTACCTGAGAGGGTTTAGAATTACATGACTTACCTGCTTGATAAGATATATATTGATATGTCAATTTGAACTGTGGTGGAAACTTTAAACAAGGGCCAAGCTGCCTTGACACAGTCTTGGCTGTGGAAAATGGCCTCCATGCCAGGCTTATTCTTTCTCATGGGTGGACTCCTACAAATTCTCCAGTAGAGCTGTTGACCTCATCTAATAATTGTAGGGTATAGAGAGATTATCTTGCTTTTCTAGATCTACAATCCAGCAAGTGGAAAAGCAGTGCTGTATATAGGGAGGACAGTGTAGTGGATCGAACACTAACCTTATATTTGGAGGATTCATGCTGAGGTTCTGAGATGGAGCACTTACTAATCAGTTCTTGCAGGATCCCCAACTCCCTGCCCTTCCAAGAAAAGCCTGTTATGACCCTAGTTTCTGTGCAAGTCATTGTTTTCTACAAAAGAAAGTGCTGAGCTGTAAGTGACATTGGTGCATGGGTGCAATGGCGACATAAAGGGTGAATAAATATTGCTGGAATACAAGAATTCCCATCCATACAAAAATGAAATTTCACACTGGTTTTGTACCTGAATCCAAGTTATCAATTTTTTGGAGGGATGTGTGTGTGTTTTCTTTGTAAAGAGGAAGTGTGAGACAAAGCAGGAAGGCTCTCACAAGTGAATTAGAAAAGTACAAGTTATTTCCCATCATTTGTAATTGAGAGGTTGCTTGTCTGTCCATGCCCAAATCTTGATGATTCAGCTGTTGAACATTCATCTGAGACTCTGCCTTTGACATTTGCCACAAACTTAGAAATACTTGGGTTAGGATTCATCAGACTTTCCTGTTAAGATCATATTTCATTGAATAATTGCTATGAACCTCAGCTATCTATATCCTAAGTAGCTGACTATCAAACAGCTGAGAAGTAACAAACAGAAACAAATCATTAAGACCTGCCATTATCTTTACTGTAAGTCTGTTGATTTCCTTGGAGTTACCTAAAAGATACATCTGATTTCAAACTGCAGTTCATGAGTGTGTGGGTTGATGAGTGGAAAATTATCCAGACCTCTGCAGACTTTTATGCAAGATCCAGACCTCTTTGGCCTTAGCTGCACAGCCAAGTTACATGGTGCAAGAGAAGGATTGGCAGAACTCTGCTTAAAGCCCCAGTGGATTTGAGAGCCATCTCCAGCAGCTTAGGTAGCTTTTCTTTCTATCCTTAGCAACACAGTCCTGATTAAGTCTCCGAGCTGTGGTCAGGCATTTTGAGGACAGTTTGATTGACAGCACGTAACGTGTAATGCTTTTCCCTGAGTTGTCTAGTGCATGAGATCCTGGAGGTGGTTGGTTGGCTCTGTTGGATTTTTTTATTTAATTATTATATTGATTTTTAAAAAAATTTTTTTGGATATTCTCTATGAAAAATTCACCTTGAGCAAGAGGCATGAAGTATTTCAATGTAAGTACAAAAATATGCATTGAGACTTCTCTCTTCTGTATCTCTAAAAATATGTATTTAGGCAAGATGATGATCAGAGGGCTGGACCAGCTCTACTATGGAGACAGGTTGAGAGAGTTGTGGTTGTTCAGCCTGGAGAAGAGAAGGCTCTGGGGAGACCTTGGAGTGCTTTCCAGTACCTGAAGGGGCTAGAGGAAAGCTGGGGAGGGACTTTTGACAAGGGAATGGAGTGATGGGACGAGAGGGAATGTTTTCAAGCTGAAAGAGGGGGAATTGAGATGAGATCTTAGGAAGAAATTGTTTCCTCTAGGGTGGTGAGACAGTGGCCCAGGTTGCCTAGAGCAGCTGTGGCTGCCCCATCCCTGGCAGTGTTCAGCAGCAGATAGGATGGGAATTGGAACAACCTGGTCTAGTGGAAGGTGTTTTGGCCCATGGCAGGGGCTAGAACTAGATAATCTTTAAAGACTCTTCCAGTCCAAATCATTCTGTGATTCTATGACTTTTTTTTGCCTTGCCAGCTCTACAGTAGAATCCCCTTCCCATTCTGGAACTTCAAATAGATGAGACAGAACTTCCCTCTGAGGGAACTGTTTGTATTTCATGCAAGGCTTTTCGGGAAGGCTCTTTCTTCACATGATATGCTGCTTCATAAGAGCAGACCTGACAGACCATCTAGGTTTGTGTGGATAACCAACTCTATCACCCAAAACTTAAAGAAACAATGTTCCTTTACATTGGTGATCTCCTAATGGTCTTGTGAAATTATTCCCAAAGAATATTGGCTTTCAGAAAGTATATTATGATTTTTCCCATATTTATTTTTTTTTTTAACACGTATTTCAATATGATTTAACAGCTTGAAAAAAGAATAAATCCTTGGGAAGCAGTTAGATTTCTGGGAGTGCAACCTGTGTATTATGGACCACCACTGGTCTAGAGACTACAATTTGGATAATGGGTTTGTTTGGAAATTATGCTGCCTGTGTCTGAAAGCTTTAATGGACTCATGGAGGAAAAGTTAGAACCACCTTTCTGAACCTGTTGAAAATCAGAGAAATTAGTTTGGTGCTTTTTTCTTCCCATGGAAGATAGTGTGGTGGATTGATCTTTAAGTAGGAAATAAATAAGTGGATAATTGCTTGGTGAAGTATGTACTTGGAAAGAATAAATCATATTGAAATTTTTGTCAGTGTGCATGGATATAAAAAAGCAGAGATTTGTCAAAATAATAATCGTTCAAATCTTGCTTAATGATTTTTCTCACCTAGCTGAGGTTAAAATTCCATTTATTGCAGAAGTGAATATGCTGTAGTCCAAAGTGCAAAAAAAAATTTCACTTGAGAGTAGCATAAGAAATAAAAATGGTTTTGTTGAAAAATGTTGAGGAAATCAGCATTTACAGCTTTTTGAATGCACCTCTGCAGTCAGTGGCAAATTTCCTGTAAATTACAGCGGTCATCAACCTTGTTCAACAGTAATAATTTGTGAGTAGCAGGACAATTTTATTGAAACTAGAACTTTATTCAGCTGCTGCAAGAAATGTAACCAGGAGCACATTGAAGGAAACATGTCATTAGAAATACATGTATAGTTCTCTAAATCATTTGTGAACACTAAAATATTTCTTTCTTTTGAGAGATTTTTTTGCAGTTGCCATAGAAAACTGGTACCAACTAAGAACATAATTTGGAAAGTAAATTGGATGTAGGTGTTTGTCACCAGACCACCTTCTACAAGCTACAAGTTACTGTGTTTCTTGCTAATGGTTCAAATTATTTGCTGTCTATATGTGAGCAGTAACTTGTGATCAGAAGATCGTATTTCTAATCATTTTGAGATTCTCTAGTTAATTCTGAGTAATTAACTCAAAGTAAACTGTAGAATCGTGGTTCAGATTCATTAAACAGTCATTTGTCACACTCATTACAGCCAATATTTGAGCAGTTGCAAATAGTGTTAATTGTATTTTTCCATTTCAAAACCAAAGCATCTTTTTGGCATAGTAGTTTCGTACCACATGGGTTGTGAATTTTTGAGTGGTCGACTTCCAAGACAGTGCATCTGATAAAGGTGAGCAAGAAAGAATGGAGCCCAGTCTTTTTTACAGTTGTCTCCATCATGGCAAAGACATTAAAAAGAGCTGGAGTTCAGCCTCCAGGTTTAAACACCAAAGTCAGCTTAGCTTTTAAAATTGGACACCACGTGCTTTGACATAAATTGGGCAGATAGTTCTCCTTGTGTCTGTGCTTACCAACCTGAATTCACATTTTCCCACTGTTCAGCCTCCATTTGAGGTCTTGCAATATGTTTTACCATTATTTGTTTCCATAACTGTCATGGATTTTCATCCAGGTCTTGCTGTAGCACACCATGGCATGACCACATGCAGCTGTTCTGCAACCAGGCTGCTCTGCTCCTCGATACACTCAGGAGTGGTTGTGCAACAACGTGCAACCACTGCAGGAACAAATTCAGGTTTGTTTTGGGTCTTCTGTTATGCGCCAGTTCACAGGGTTAAAGGGTTACATGAGAATCTCAGTGCCCTGCTTGTAAAAATAAACCCGAAGTAGTCTCTGGCTCTGACAGTTTCAGAGAAAACCTCAAAATTATAAGCAAGGAAGACACAAAACTCAAAAGGCCAACAATACACAAATCTCAGTTTTTGTGGGTTGTGCTTGGGATCTGAGTCATGCTTGTTGTGCCTCAGGGGAGACTAACACTGACTGAATTCTCATTGGCATTTGCAGGACAAGAATGGTTTAACTGTGAGGAGCAGGGTTATGGATACTCTTCCTGTTGTTTCCTTGCATCTACCTGAGCCAGTGAGTTCATAAGTCCATGTTGGTACAATCTGCTCTTGATCAAGCACGGGTGGTAAAACTGTTGTGAGGAAAACAATCTTTGCCACCACGCTAGTCAGGCACTGACTCTGCATGACTCAAACAAACCCTACTTTGCTTTTGCTTCTCTTGTAGTTACCTCTAAGCAAGAGGGATGACTGAGGCACCTGCTGACTACTTGTCAACCACCAGCTCCTACAACTATGAGCAGCCCCTTCCCGCCGGGGCTCGGACAAGCACTGTCACCAAGGTACCTCCAGCCAAAAAAATAACCTTCTTCAAGAGTGGAGATCCTCAGTTTGAGGGAGTCAAGATGGCCATCAACCAGAGAAGCTTCAAGAGCTTCAATGCACTCATGGATGACCTCTCTCATCGGGTCCCACTGCCGTTTGGGGTACGGACCATCACCACCCCACGAGGAATACATTGCATCAATGAGCTGGACCAGCTGGAAGATGGGGGATGTTACCTTTGCTCTGACAAGAAATATGTCAAGCCTATCAGCATTACTTCTGGGAGGTACAGGCCAGGCCCTCCACGAAATGGTCGTCCCTCCAGCACCTTGAGAAGAGCAGCTCAGGAAGGTAGACTTGAAGATTATTCCACAGCTTTTACACAGCACGGACCTAGAATACCCAAGAAAATCACTCTACTTAAGAATGGAGAAACCAGTTTTCGGCGCTCGATTATCTTGAACCGCAGAAATGCCAGGAGCTTCATAACACTCCTGGATGAGATCTCAGAGATCCTGCAGTTCCCAGTGAAGAAGCTCTACACTGTTGATGGGAAGAAGGCAAGTATCTCTCATATGTGGTGCTGGTCAGTTATTCTAATAGGTGTGTTATCACATCAGCAATTGCATACCCTCTGACACAAATCTTTAGCTCATTAGCTTGCCCACGTTACCTTAATCCTTTGGGCTTGTGTACTTAATGTCACATTAATTACTTCCCCATTAATTACACGAAGGAGTGATGTAGAAAAATCTTGTTCATCAAAATCAAGAGCTTCATACATTGGGTATCGTTTTGGGTCAATGATAGGCAACTTCTGACAGAAGTCCAGAAGCTCAATTTTTTGCAGCTGGGTATAAAATCCTAAATAAACCTCTAGTAATGGAGTTTACCACCCTCTCCAGGAAGGCATGTCCCAACAGGGGATTAATTTTTCTATACCTAGTAACAAGGACTTCATCAGAATAAGATGGCCCTTAGTTAGCACCCTGTGGTTGCACAGTTCCTAACAGAGCGGGGTCCTGCTCATGATATGGGATCCTCAGCATTATGGTAATATAGCTAACAAATGCATAAAGGTATGAGTGGGATCAGGAGATGCATTTGTATTGATGATTTGGTGAATGTGCTAATTGGGGTGAACTCCTCTAACAAATCTGGGACATGACATGACTAATTCTGTTCTCCAAGGGATCTCCTGACAAACATGAGATTCTCCTGGCTTCTTGTCCTTCTCTTTGTAAAACAGACTAAACTGTGCTTCCATTTCTTCTGAAGAGGTCTCACATGTTAGTCTGAGTAGTCCCTGGCAATGCAGCCAAGTGGAGCAATTATGCTGCTCCTTGAGAAATTTTCCCCCTTCACAGATCTCTGTGCCATCTCCTCAGTGGTAACCTTACAACCATTTGTGGTGTCACTTGCTGAACTAGTTCACTGAAATTACTTGGGTTCAAATGACCTACTATGCAGTAGGGGGAAAAAATAGAGGAATATTTTTAACCCAAATAATTTTCACCTGACACAGGGACAGGAGTGTGCAACCAAGAAGGAGAGAGGGAAGAGATAATGGTGCCTTAAGACAGCTTTCTTGGGTGAGGCAACATGCCACATCACAGTGTTTTCTGCTATGCATTGTAAACACAGTATTTTCACTATTATTCAACCTCCACCTTTCTTTCCATCTAATGCCATCAAGTTATCTTCCACATTTTCAGCTCGGTAGTAGTGATCATCATGCCTAAAGGTTTCTATTCTCCCAGAGTACAGATCTCATCCCAACATGCCAAGACATGGCAGGACATTATCTTCTCTGGCATGCCATAGAGTTTAAGATTATCCTTTATATAGTGATAAAGATATTTTCCACAATAAATTCCAGGGGTTCCATAGAGACCTTTTCTCTCCTCCTTTTTTGCTCCACATTTTCCACCTGCAGTAATGTAGGTGTGGATCAAACACTATCACATAATATCTCAATTTTTTTTAAATAAGAAAATGTTAATTATAACCTTGTCAATAGACAATTCATCTTCTTTACTTTATTAATTTAATTTGTACTCCTTTTATTCTTGTGTAGAGTATTGTAGTGATAGGTGACTATGGGTCTAGCCTGATCATTAACATCTTTTCTGGGGAATCTTTTAAAACTACTTTTTGGCCATTCAATTCAATCACTTACCTCCTGCTTTTTAACTGTTTCTTACTGCTTATTCAATGGTCATTTCTGTTAGGACTTCCTGGAGCTGTTATTCCAGTCTCAGGTGCAAAGGATTTAAACCACAGAATTAGTCTTGGATTTTTCCAATCATTTTCTTTCACAAGGATTCTCTACATCATTTCTGCTCTTCTGTCTAAGTTTTCTTGTCATATGTCATCTTCAAGATCTCTGTTTCTTACACACAATTGGTTGTGTCCCAGAGTTTTCACCAGATACTAACAGTTTTTTGAGGAGTGAAAATGGTGAATTTTTCACATGATTTGGGTGATTTCCTGAAATAACCTACTTCAGCTGGTGCTGAAGATTAACTTTGTCTCTGCATTCTACCTTTATACTTACATTTGCATTTTCTGTTAGTGCCTCCATTCTGCCATGACTGTTCAAAGGTGTCTGGATGCTTCATATTTCTTGGGTATTTCCTTGTTTCTCATATTACTCTCTTCAAATAAGAATTCAAATAGTCTCTTAATAATTTTATTAACTTCTTTTATCACATGTCTATGTCTAGACTTATTACAGCCTTATTTCTTGGAAAGGGGGCTTGGAGTGGGAGGAATGGGAACTTTTGATATTCTTTCCTCTGACTTCATGGATTAGCTGAATAACAGTAAGATTAATTCCTAAACAATGTAGCTGGGCTACTGCTTCAATTACTTTAATATTTGTCTGGTTCAGAAGCAAGTTCACAATGTTTCTTTTGCTGGCAGTCTTTTCCTTGATCTCTTGAATACTGAACATGAAAAAGGAAGAAAGTCTCCTGCAGGTGACTCAGTCTCTTCCATCAGTGAAAGTGCTATTCATAGAGCTGAGAGTGTTGCCCTTTCAAGCTGCTTTTGTTTTCTTCTACTGCTATGACTCTAGATCCAAACTCAAATCCTAAGTTAAATCACCTCTGCAATATGAGGTATAATTGGAATATATTGTCCCAGTGGCTGAGTTTTAATTTCTTTACAATTTTGTTGAGTAAATCCAGAGCACTTCAATATTACAAGTCCTGGGTTTCCTATTTTACCTTTATGCTGGTGTAAGCTTCAAACACATTGAACAGGCTTGTTGTTTTGTGTTCCTTTCATGTACTATTGATTTGAAAAAGCAGAGAAGTGTTTTCTTAATTTTGTAGCCCACCTAGTCTACAAATGTTTCCAGTAAGCCTCTAAATTTAATTCAATCATAGCTCACAGAGAAATAAATTTTTTGAATGCAAATCTCACTGGTTTTCTGTATCAGTATGTTTTTTCCTCCAGACAAAACTTGTATAATTTCTGCTTTTATAGCCCTCATTTTGGTTCCTCTCCTCTTCTCTTCTCTCCTCTTCTTTCCTCTTCTCTTCTTTCCTCTCCTCTCTCAAATTGGCATTAGCTTAAGATTTTACCTGAAAAGGAAGAAATGCTAGCAATTTCATGAAGAAAATGAAGGAAGAGTTTACCCCTTTCTTATAAAACAAAGTCAGAAGATGGTCATGGGCAGTTATGCAGAATCCTAATACACATGAAGTTCATAGTAAAGAAAAAGGTGTTGTTGTAACATCAAGAGCCATTGGAGGCCAGCAGAGCTCTTGCTTTTGTGATGACATATTTTGCTGTTATTTTATCTTTTCTTGCTCCCATTTGCCTGATTATTTAACTCTCACATATTTTCAAAATTATACTTTATGAACTTCCTGGGAAAGGTCAGTCTATTTGCTGGTTATTTCTTTTGTGGCCTGGATTACAGGGCCTTCATTGCTCTTGGGTTAGAAAGTCAGTGCTTTGAATTCAAAATTAGCCTATAATAATTAAGCAAAGCTCAGGTCAGTAGAAACAGTGATTAAAAGATCCTGATTCCAATCTTAGTACACATAGTAGTTCCATTGGAATTCACACTTCTGAATTTTTATTCTAACCCTTAAAGTCTTGAATGAGGTGAAACCATTATTTTTACTCTTAAGCATCCATCAGGCTGCCTGCTAGAAAGGAAAAGCTAGTCCCACTGAAGTGAATAGGTGTTTAGATATTTGGGCAGTGATTTCAGCAGGGCCAACAGCCCCTCTTTCCAAACTAACCATGATTTTGCTGTCAGTTTCTAAATCAAAAAAGGAATTTGATGACTATAGGACTGGAGAGAAATTTAATTTGGTTTTAGCTTAGACAGATCAGTTAAATTTTCAGCAAGTAAAAAGTGTAAATCATACAGTTCTTTTCAGGTCAAGGTCTAGTTACTGTTTTGCAGGTGATTAAGTGAAAATAATGCCTAAATAAATAAATCTTTAATTTAGATGAACATTGACATGTCATTAACTTGCCAGTGAAACTTTGTGCAAGTTTGTGCACTGAAAGATTGACAGGCCTGGATTAATTGATCTAAAAGGCACAGTTTATTAGGCATAGGATGGAGGGGTCATTTTTCCTGTTTGTTTCTCTTTACTGTCTACAGAAGAAGATGAGAAGACTGACTCAGACTGTACACCTAAAATTAGGAGGAATTCACCCAGGCCCAAGTTTTCCTCCAAGTTTTAAAGTACTTCAGTTATTCAAATATTAGCAAACATAAGACACAGGACTCTACATGTGATGATCACTTGGCTAATGAGACAGTTGAAAATTGGAGCTTTCCTAGTTTTTGCTAGGGACATCAGTTGTACCCTAAAAAAGAACCAGGTGTTCAACTAAGAGCATATACCTCAAAACAAAAAGGCAGATTAAAAGTTGTAGGTTATCTTCTCCACCAGACACTCTTT